GGTGAATTTCTTTTCTTGAAGTAACAGTCTTCTTCATTGTGATTATCCTTTTTGCATGTATTGCACCACTTGTTTGTTCTTTGATGTTGATTCGATCTCTGGCCAAACTTTGCTCCTTTGATTCTTGCATAAGAAGCTCCTTCGATAGGTTCATCATCTGGTAGGTACTTTGCTTCATGTGAGATTAGTGATCCAACGAGATCTGTCATAGTAATCTTCTTTAGATCTTTGGTTTCTTGCATTAAAACTGCTAACCCGGCATAACTCTTTGGCATCGAGTTTAGTATCTTCCGGATCACTTGATGATTTGTCTTCTCTTCTCCTAGTAAACTCATTTGGTTCACCACCTCTTGTACTTTATCTGTGTAATCCCGAATCTTTTCTCCTTCCTTCATCTTCAGATCTTCGAACTCTTTGTTCAAACAATCCAGCCTCACAAGTTTCGCTTGGTCGTTGCCTTGATAGGTTTCTTGTAGCCTTTGCCAAATTTTCTTAGGTAGTTGCAACAACTACTTTCATTAAAACCAAATTTATCACAGCCATCTGTAACAATTGAGAGTTTTCATATCTTGCATCTCTTTTTCTTTCCATTCTTCTAATATTTTTCCTTTCTCTTCCGGTTTTTTTTGGCTTTGGTGGAAGTCCTTCCTCCACAATTTCCCAAATCTCTTGAATCCTTAAAGTAGTTTTTATTCTTATAGTCCAAAGCTCATAGTTTTGCCCATCAAACACTGGAATAGTTACTGTTTGCAATATTTTACTCATCTTTTACCTTCTGCCCATACTATGCACGAACCCGGATTTTACACACAACGTTTTTTTTCACGAACTCGGATTTTGCACGGAGATGAACTTTGCACGAACTGGTTTCTTTTCACGAACCCGGATTTCGCACAGAACGATTTTGCAGCGGAATTAGTTTCACACAAATTTTGCACATAACGAATTTTCTTAAGAACACTCAGGACCTTGGCTCTGATACCATGTTGGGATTTTCTCTATAGAAAATATATTTTCTTAAAC